CAAACTATTTTTGATAAAACCCATTTCCCCCCACCGTGAACTATAATAAGCCTTTGGCCTTTAGAAATAACAGAAAACAAACCTTTTGTTGAATCGTCTGTCCAATTCTTGGAAGAAGTATGTCCACTGTGTATATATGTTTCATCTAAATAAACGATTGGTCTATTTTGACTTCTTAAATATTTTATGTCTCAAATATTTTACTCTTAAAGTTCTTATTTTCATTTTTTCCACCAAAACTTTACGATTATTTTTATAGAAAACTACGCAAGTTTAATTGCAAATAAACTACAGAATATGTTTACCTGTTGCTTGTGCAGTTTGAAGTTTGATATCATCTAAAGTAACTCCTTCCTTTTTTGTTGCGTCAAAATATTTATAAACATTGTATATTACTTCACGACTTTGTCCGTTAATAACAGATCTGCGCTTTTTTTCACCCTCAATAGAAGACATTATCAAAAATAAAACCAGTCACTTTAACCAAAACACAGAAACAAGAAACAAACAATGATCTAGTCGTTACGCTACTGACCGTAAGCAAGGACAAGGTTCAAATTGTGAATGAACGTGTCTATTTTTAAGTAAACGAACTTGAGCATTTGCGCTGGTTCTTTAGATTTGGCGTTTACTGTACCTTATACTCATTCGGGCAATCGTTCAGTGTTTTCGAATCTAGTGAACCTTTGAGATATTCCTTATATATCCTTTATACCTACCTACTTTTGTCCAATTTTTCAATGTATTGTAGCTACCTTATGGTATCACACATGTGTAATTGTGTTGCCTTGTATTATACCTATATTATTAATACCTACCTCTACTTGTATGATATTGGTACTTGATTTCAAAAGCCTTTTAATAATAAATTTATACAATTTTATGTTTTATTCAGATTTTACTATATCCATAATATACTATTTTACATATAGTGTATCCAAGGATGGACATAACTATAGGTACGTGAAAAGATATTTATTTAAAATTTTTCAAAAAAGTTTTTTTCATAATTTCTCGACGTTAATCGTATATATTTAACAAGCAAAAAAATTATAAAGTACTTTTTTTAAATTTAAAATAAATATTTTTACAAGTATTGTTAAGTCCATCCGTGGACACACTGTATAATGCTGTAGAATAAATTCACATTATAACATCTATAAAACGTTTCAGAGCAACTTTCGGGGAAAGTACCGTAAAAGTGCTACTGTAATGTTTTCTGAACTTCACTTTGTAACTTCTATAAAATTGTCGCCATTGCGGACATTCAGCGGTTGCATGGATATTAGGGTTACATTAAAAGTACATTGCATGTGAGCTTAAAGAGCCTAAAATTGCAGCTTATTAACGTAGATGGAATGTTTTTGTGCTAGCTGGGCTTAGAAACATACATTCATTATATAAGTATATTAGTATATATTTATAAAAATATTAATATGTTCACATTACATTTCTTCATAATCTTTCAGCTTTCAAATACAGAGTTTCAGCAGATTTTAATAAAAATGTTCTTTCATCCATTTCGAGTGGCATCTTCGTACTGGGGCTAATGCTGAGTCTGTAACTTTTTAAAATTTGTATAAGGCCCACTTTAGACTGCATCAATCCAAATCTTAAACCTAAAATTAAAAATATATATTTTTTATTTTATAGAGTCAAGTATCCTTGAGTTTTAATATTATCGACAACGCCTCTGGCCTCGACACTGGGGTGAGGTTATTTTTTGTTTTATTTTTTTTACCTATACAATTTCTAGGTCCATCTCCAAATGGTAAATAACACTTGTTATTAATTTGACTAATATTCTCTGGACTGAATCTTTCAGGATCAAATTTTAAAGGTTCAGGAAAGTATTCGGGATCTCTCTGAATGGCAATTATTGGTATAACAATGTAAGTCCCTTTGTCGATTATTATATCCGTGTTTCTTAAATTGTAATCTTTGACACATTTTCTTTGAAGGATTGGTACAGATGGATATATTCTTAAAGTTTCTAAAAATATGAAAAAGAAATAAATTTATTGAAGATAATCGTTTAAAAAAAAAACGGTACCAAATACGCTAGTTCGGTGTGATGTCATTTTGGTTCCACTGACACTTAATTCTAACCAAACTTTTAACAAAAGCCTCAATAAATTTGACATATACGTTTTTACTGTTTTTAGTTTATTTCTAAATATTTTTTACAGGTCATAAAAATAGTTTAAAGGTATGTTATTGGTAACTAAACGATTGTATATTTGATGCATGTTATCTACTTACCTTAGGAATATATTTATAAAAATGAAAAAAACGATATAATTTAGGTAAACAAAACGAACAGAACGCACTCAAAAAATCTACTGTCACTTTAAATGTCAATGGAACCATAATTACATCATCACTGAACTAGCGTATTATAATTTTTTGATATACTTAAGCACTTGTAGTCTTAATTTTACACTATTTTAGTACCTATTTTAATATTAGTAATCTTTTACAGGGCTGTAGCTACCTAAACTGTGAGTATTAGCATAATGAAAAATAGTAGACCAAAATGATTATTTCAAATTAATAGCAAAAATTAACAGGAAGATTTAAATATAAACAAAATACTTATATAGTCTAGAAAATTATAAAAAGAAATACAATATTTTAAAAATTATTCGAATTGTTCTTACAATTCCGGCATTTCTAGAGAAAATGATGAAAATGTTGTACTGGTATTAGTAAATGGTATAAAACTAAAAGCTTTGTTAGACACGGGTTCTGAACTTGATATAATCAACGAAAAAGTAGTTGACAGATTTAAATTTCCAAAATTGAAGAATCTTTTGGATGGAAAAATTCAAGCTCTAGATTCCAGAGTATAATGCAAGAGGTTTTAGGAGAATTATTAGGAAAAAGAATCTTATTGTACATCGACGATATAATTTGTGGAGGATCCGATTTAGACGAATGTCGGATAAATACTAACATTTTTAAGAGATTGAATGACAACAATTTTAAAATAAATTTAAAAAAAATGCCTATTCTGTGTAAGGAAAGTTACATTTTTAGGAAGAGAAATAGATGGTAATATAAAACGAATGAAAAAGGAAACTGTAGAAAAGGTACAGGCTATGAAGAAACCAACTGATTTAAAATATTTACACTGTTTCATTGGTCTTACTAATCATTTCAGAAGTTTCATTAAAGATTATAGCAAGATTGCTAAACCATTAAAGGAACTCAAATCAAAAAATAAAAAAATTATTTGGAGTGAAGAATGGGAAGAGGCATTCCAAAATTTAAAAAAAATACTTCAGAACCGATTCTTCGATTACCCAGATCCCAAATTAAAATATGAACTAGCTACAGATGCATCATACTATGGTTGTGGGGCTATCCTGTATCAAAGAGATGAGAACGAAAATAAAAATAAACAACTCCGAGTTAAAAGCGAGTTAAACTATTCTGTTACAGAAAAAGAGTGTCTAGGAGTGGTCACGGCTGTCAAACATTTTAGAATATATTTAGAAAGTAAACACTTCGTTGTTCATACTGATCACCGAGCTTTGACTCAACTTTTAAGTAGTGCAAATTTGAGAGACCGTTTGGGAAGATGGCAATTATTTTTATCGAGTTTTGACATGACGGTAAATTATAAGAGTGGTCAAGAACTAAAAGATAGCGATGCGATTTCAAGGTTATGTATTGATATGCCGAATGAAACAAATGATTCCTTTTGGTGTAATTTAATGGTGGAAGATCTGGAAAGGCTAGAAGATGGCAGATGTTTAGTAAAGTGTTCAAGAATGGTAAAAGAAATATTAATGATGTATCGCGATGATCCTAACTCAGGTAGGCATGACGGGTATTATAAGACATACTATAGAATAAAAAGGAGATTTTTCTGGAATTCTATGGCGAAACAGATAAGAAAATATGTAAAAACTTGTCGAATATATCAAATTAATAAATTTAAATATTTACTAAAACCAGAAACCAGATTTTATACATATCTCACAATGCTCTCAAATTCCATTTGAAACTGTACATATTGACTTTGGAGAAATTAGTAAAAAATCGGATTTAAATCAAACCACAGAATCATTTGTTGTTGTTATAGATGAAGCTTCTCGATATATGTTTGGTAAATCATTAAAAGAGAGTAGCAAAGCTCTTATAGATTATTTAAATAAAATTCCCTATATTGCAAAAAATAAAGAACATCGTCTCGGATTGTGGAAAAGCTTTTAAATCTGAAGAATTTCAGACTTTTGCAGTAAGTAAGAATATAAAATTAATTCACACGAGTCCCTATCATCCAAGGAGCAATGATATTGCCAAGCGAGCCATAAGAGACGTAAAAACTTACTTGAAATGCTACCCTAAACCCATTGGTGGCTGGAAAAAGGGGTTAGAAGCAGCGATACAGTATCATAATTATTCACATAATGAGTATTTAGGCTGTTCTCCAAATTTTAAACTGTTTTGAATGGCACCTATATTACAAGCAGGCAGATCTTTAGGACTAAATTAAGAAATAAACGAACTTCCCAAATCTAAAGAAGAACAAGATAAATATAAAAAATACATACAACAACAAGCAAACAAAAAAATTTAAACCGCCCAATTTAAAAAATGGAGATCAGATTTTAACATTAGGTTCTTTCGTTCGCTGTTGGTGCAGTGTCCACCAGTGTAAATTACACCAGTTACACCATCATATTTACCCTAATTTATTTCCTCCTTGTTCCTGATTCACATGTCAAGTGTAATTTACTCCTGCTAAATAGCTGTTGGAGAAAATATCCACCAGTGGATACTACATCGCCGACAGGAAGGTGTAGTGGATTTTACAACAGGCCAAACGAAAGGTATGGTGTGCGTTGGTGTAATTCCTACACCAGTGAGACGAACGAAATAATCTAATGTATCAAAGAATTGAAAAGAATTTGTTGTCAAGGGACTTTTGGAAATTATTGAAGTTGAAACCTTTAATCGAATGGTGTCATCGGTAAATTACTTTAATGAAGGCGTAGAGGAATCGGCGCAAGTTTCTAACTTAAGAAAATATCATCCCAGGAGTGATGCCTTTATGAGGGAAGAGTTAGATGTAGAAGATCATCCTGTATAAAGATTTGGTATTTGGATACGATTGTCAAGTTTGACACATTATTTATTGTGTGTAGAGCCTACTGATCTGACAGATCAGTGGTAGAGCCGTATTAATAAAGCTTATTCGAGCTAATACTCTTCTACTTTATTTCAACAAATATTTTTTAAATTAACCAAAAAAGGTTGACAGCTGTGTGCACGTAGTTTAGATTCAAAAGGAAATACTTGTATTTCGTGCAAAACTTTTTAATTAATAAATGCAAAGCGCTTTCGGCTTATTTGCCATCATCAATGCTTATCTACAAAAATTGTGGATGTAAACTTACAATTTAAAAAAATATAAAATCTGAGTAAGACTTTTAAGTCAAGAGTTAAAATTTTTGATCGTTATTTGTAATATTACATTTTTGTTCTTATTTTCTAAACGAATGGTTAATAGTGTCTTATTTAAAAATGTTGAGTGCCAACTCAATAATGGGAATTCAGATATTTTTCTTCCTATATCAAATCTTTCTAACGTTTTGAAGCAAATTTCTTGTTCTAAAACAATTAATAATAAATACCTACTTTGTGACAAAAGTTGGTTACTATTTGTGTTACTTACATGACTTGATCTTACTTTAGTTAATTAAAAAACGCCACATTGGGGTTGTTAAATTTATTCATGTAGTCTTGTGTTACTAATGCAATACATTCTCCGACTTATTGTAATATTACAAAATATAATTATTGTCCTCAAATTTCACACAAAAACAGCCACAACCATTTCGCTTAGGTCATCTAGAGGATAACATAATCATTAACTCAAAATTTTAATTTAGGATACTTCGATATACATAAAACCACATACTTTGATTACTATACGAGGCAAGAGAGAGGTCCGACACGCCCAACATAGGGCGCGGCCATTTTGAACCCTGTGACACAGTTTACAGCTAAAGAATCAGATCGCTCACTCTGCGTCGGCACTTTTGATCTCAATGTTTCAGTTTATACACTGTGCAACTCGGATAATACAATATATGACAACCGCCTATAATAAAACAACAGTCTTCTGCGTATCCTGAATTTGTATCCCTGGAGTGGATGTTATTATGGAACTTTAAACTGGTCCGAGTGAGCTAACTGATTCTGTAGCAATAAACTGTGACTTCAAAAATAATATTCACTGACACTGACAGCAGCAAGCAAAATATCAGGTGCGTTTTAATCATCCGCTTCTGCTTCCGGAATTGTCGGTTTAGTCGTTTTAACCTGTCAGATTAAAACAAGAAAACCGACAATTCCGAAGCAGAAGTGGATGATTAAAACGCACTTATTAAAAATATTGCATCAAGATGTAGGCAACACGTAATAAGGGTTCAAAATGGCGGAGTTTTTTATCTCCTTTTAAAAGGCACTCAGAAAGCTGCGCAGTGCGACCATTCTCCGTATAGTAAAAGAAAATCAAAGTATGTGCATAAAACTGACATTTATTTATTTATACAAACTGTCCACTGCTGTCCACGTCTACTGTCTGTCTCTGTGTTGCCATCGTATTTATACGATTTTTTAACTCTCTCTACGATGTACGATTGCATCAGTGAGATTGTACATAAAAATACGATCTTCTCTTTTTTAGTAGGTTTATTTAAATATCTGCAACAACTTCAGAACATAAAACAATAAAAATCAAAACCTAGTCATTTTCGTTCTCACTTATCGTGATTTTGACCATGGTGATTTTGTATCAACACCGACTATCACGCGCGGCATAACAAAGGCTTGCATGCAAAATTTCAATCACTTTCAAGTGACAGTCATTGTACGATTTTTTGTCGAAATACCATTTTTCTACTCTACTTGTACGATCTCTCAAAAAATATTTGGCAACACTGGTCTGTCTACAAACGACGAATACCTTTAATTAACATCTGAGACGCATAGATAACGCCATCGTTGCTGTGGTCGTTGCGTTTTCTATCTTTATGTCCCTAATCTCTGGTCAATGAGGTTGAATCACACTTTGATTTTCTTTTACTATACGGAGAATGGTCGCACTGCGTAGCTTTCTGAGTGCCTTTTAAAAGGAGATAGAAAACTCCGCCATTTTGAACCCTTATTACGTGTTGCCTACATCTTGGCGCAATATTTTTAATAGGTGCGTTTTAATCATCCGCTTCTGCTTCGGAATTGTCGGTTTTCTTGTTTTAATCTGACAGGTTAAAACGACTGAACCGACAATTCCGGAAGCAGAAGCGGATGATTAAAACGCATCTGATATTTTGCTTGCTGCTGTAAGTGTTAGTAAATATTATTTTTGGAGTCACAGTTTATTGCTAAATAATCAGTTAGCTCACTCGGACCAGTTGAAAGTTCCAAAATAGCATCCACTTCAGGGATACAAATTCAGGATACGCAGAAGACTGCTGTTTTATTATAGGCGGTTGTCATATATTGTATTATCTGAGTTGCGCAGTGTATAAACTGGAACATTGAGATCAAAAGTGCCGACGCAGAGTGAGCGATCTGATTCTTCAGCTATAAACTGTGTCATAGGGTTCAAAATGGCCGCGCCCTATGTTGGGCGTGTCGGACCTCTCTCTTGCCCCTTATAGTAATCAAAGTATGTGGGTTGAATACTAACGATATATCATTTCACCTGAGTATGTAATTTTAAGCCAGTTTCCCATACTTATGTTGGGAAGGGGGTGTTAATACTCTGCGACCTAAAATATCTATTGTACCCCATTTTTTCGCTAATGTAGCAAGGAAATGTCTCAATGCCTAAAACGACACTTTCAATCCTATCTTCTCAAGGAAGTGTAGGATTTGAAGTGGCTTCAAGTTAGGTAAATCTCCCTCTTCTATTTGATATACTCCTAGGTATAGTGCCCTTGGATTCTGTAGTGCTACACATTCAGTTAGAACTATATTCTACTACCCTCAGTTTATATTAAGAAGTCTTTTGAGTCGGCAATGCTCAGTAAGGATCCCTATTACAATACGTAGCCTGTTCTTGCTCAGGCAAATACAGGCTTCCGATCTTTTCTGGTCATATTCATCCAGAAGTTAAACACCTACTTACACCTAGCTCCTAGTAAAACAATGCTTTTTTATAACCAAATGTTATTGAGGTTATTTGTCTCAAATGATGTGTCTCCTTCTATAAAATTCAGTGCAAGAAAGTTAACAATACGTATACTGTGTTATTTTTGTCAGTTGATTAACTATAGAATATTTATAAAAAATATTTTACCATCCATAACTTGCTGTAAATATTTTATATTGTTAACGGCCTCGTAAGTTAGTATATTATCATGATTTTCTAGCGTTGATTTGATTTCTTGTCTGAGTTTTTCTTGTATATCCGGATTTCTAGCCAATTCGTAAAGAGCAAAATTCATAGCTGCAGATGATGTGTCAAATCCAGCGATGAAGAATAGGTTTACGTTAGCAACCTAAAAATATTATATTCGTGTTATTTTCTATATTTTTTATCTTTAATCGCCGGAAATAATTTATTGATTGATATTATAAACAAATGGTCAACAAAAAATAAATATAAATATAAATGTACATACCAGTTCCTCAAACGTAAATGGATTATCCGAATTTTTGGTATCCTCAACCATGTTTATCACAAGTTGTAGAAAATCTTGACGAGTAATATTATTTTTCTTTCGGTGATTTACAGTATTGTTAATTATATTGTAGAAAAACTCTATGGATTCTGTTTTGATCGACCTAATTTCTAAAAAGTAAAAAAATAGTAGTTTGTGCAACAAGAGTGGATATAATGACCATATCGCACGAAGATGAAATTTGAGCACGACGCCGTAGGCGGGGTGCTCAATCGTCTGAGGGCGCTGTGGACAATCCACTCGAGTTGTACAGTATATGTTTTCTACGACCCACCAACGAAAAGTTACAAATAAAAAAAATAGGTTATTAAGACAAAATAAGTAATTTTAAAATAATTTATGACTTTTAATAATTTTTAAAATAAAATAAACGAAAAAAAAAAAGAAAAAAATTCATTTCATTTTTCCCCATCTGAGAATCGAAACCCAGTCTTCCATTTGGAAGGGAAGAACGCTAACCACAGGATCACCCTTATAATATATATAGTCAGGAAGGAGGAATCCTAAACGACCTTGGAATCGCGATGGTATCTAATTTTGACAGTGAACTAGACGAATATGGCGACAAGTGTTTCCGGTCTACCAGTGACGTACTGTCATAAAGGGGCGTAGAAAAGAAAATAATAAATTCTCATTTGCATATTATCTAAATTTACCGATTTCTCTCATTTTAACGAATTGCTATTTTCTTGCGAGAAGTTTGCATTTTTTTTTATTATGTGAATAAATTTTACTTTAAAATTGCATGTTGGGTGGGATAAATATAGGAAAGCAATAATGTATTAAAAAAATATATTTTGACTTTTTTACATCTTTATTATGACTTTAGAGAGTTGAACTCATATTTTGGACTATACCGTAAACATTATTTTTGTGCGTTGACGTTCACGTTTACGTTAACGTACTGGAAACACTTCAACTCTCTAATGTCTCTATTAATCTACATTTTAAAAATTATTAAGGTTTGAAAAATAAATACGTTTTGTAGATATGCGTTAAAAAAAATTAAATATCCTATACTTATGTTTAGGTCAAACACCGCTGTGATATTTCTTATTCCAATACCTAAATATAAATAAAACTATAATAACTGTGCCAATCAATCAAATTTATTTCAACCTTTTTTTTTTTAAAGACAGACTTCAGCAAAGAAACTTAAGAAACATGAAAGTAATCACAAAGATAGAACCGGTTAGTTCTTGTTATAGATAATTATTACAAAAATATATATATATATATATTTTTACATTAGTCGAGTAGTCGAATACGTAGAATACAATAAGTCGTATACAAAGGATCATGCAGCAGCTTACAAATAAAATATTATAACGTTATAACATCGAAGACTTCTATATGTTCTATAAGTTGCAACTTATTAAATCATAAAAAAAAATTATCAAGCCTACAGATGGACATTGATAAAGTTATATCAAATTTAAATAGATTTCAACTCAAACCAATCTTGTATGTAAAATTTGACAAAATAATTTAGTATTAAAGTGAAAATAACCAAATGTACAGTTCATCAAATTTCTAGAGGTGTTCGACGCCCAGACAGAGAACGCGCTACGTGTGACTAAGATAGCTATTGTACAGTCTGCTAAACAAGTTATTTTAAATAGTTTTTAATATTTTTAGGTAATTAAATTTTAAAAGTGTGGAATAGTTTAGGGATTAAATTGGTCTGATTGGACTTTCTTAGAACGTTTTTAAAAGCAGCTAAAGATAGTATGTAGAATTGAAAATAATTATTATGCAATAAAAGGTGTTTTGGAATTCCTTCAATCTTTTGAAATTGAGTCAGAAAATATAAATTTTATAGGATAGCGTAAAATACCTATAATTTTTTTGTAGGCCTTTGTAAATCGTGGAAATAGTTTATATTTTATTTCTACCTTATTAAGGAAAATGGTACCTATTATTAATAACGGTTGTTTCTGAAACATTACTAAAATTTTCGAAATTTTGTTTTTCTACAAAATAATAAACTATACTATTTAGAAAAAAATTTATTTCTCTTATAATTTTATAAAAAATAACAGGGGAATATTTACATTTCTTGATCTATTAAACAAAACGATACATTATCTCGACGAATGACACCATGTTCTAGTACGGAAGCTAGCTTTACATTTTTGTTGGTGGTTTCATGGGTTTCATATCAATTTTTTGTAATTGTAGTTTACACGTACATATACCTCTTAACACTTGTTTGCTTTATTAAAAAAGTGTGTTGTTGTGATTTACGTCGAAATAAGTCAAAAACAACTTGAAACCCCATATAAAATCAAAAAGGAGAAACGGAAAAAAATTGAGCCTGTAAATGAACACAACTCAGAAACAAAAATAGCTATCTAATAATAAAAAAATAAAATTTGATTCTTGTGCAGCTTCATCTATATCATTAACTGTTTTTGGTTTTTTAATGGTTTTTCTTGGTGATGAAAATTCCGATATCTCACGGTTATCGATTCTTTTTTCTCTCCAGAAATGCGGACGACAGTGTTTTTAGATACTCCTGTGGCTGCAGCAACACGATCATTTACATTTTTAAATGGTATTGAAGGTGAATTAAAGTTTCCTTCTCTTCTCATAAACTCTATAACATTGGCTATTATTTCGCGAGATTGACTGTTAATCACGTGGCCTCTTAATTTGCTATTAAACTCCATACTTAGGTTCTATTAAACTGTAATGAGCAAAAAACACAAACGAAAATAAAAGAAATGTTTTAGCGAAATTTACATCTGACATTTACGTCTGAATGAAATAGTGAAATACTTGATGCGCAGAGTGTACTTTCATTGCATAAATCCGTCGGGATGCCTGTCAGTAGTGCTTTCTCTGTCTAGCCGTCGAAAGCCTCTAGAAATTTGATGAACTGTAATTCGTTGGAGCCAAAACAAAAACCTATGAGTCTATGCTCAAGATATAAATAAAAAATTACTTAGCTTAACTCTATCGTCTCCGGCAACGCACGTCGCGCGTTGTTGTAAATTTTACCGTGTGCCACTAACGCGCCTGGCGCGGTCCCCACCTATTTTTTCATTTTTGCCTTAATTGATGGTATTATGTTATGTAGATTATTGAAAATTTAATGGTATATAAAATAAGGTGTAATTCGTTTCAGGGGATACTTGGTTTCGTCTACGGCAATGCTGGTTGCGCGTTAATGTAAATGTTACCATAGGGTAAGAGGCATAGGCATAGGCCAGTAACGCGCCAGTTATATAAAGACATTTTGCCATATCACATAAATAATAGTGACGTTGTACAGATATCATATTTCATGAAGATAATTCTTGTTAACATTAGATTCATTCTTGCTTTAACCTCTGTCGAGTAAACCACTATTCCGTTGTACAATAAAAATAAAGTTTTGTTTTTAAAAATAAGTTTTAATACTAAAATAACTTAACTGGCGCAGTCAGTAGGATAGTTCGCAGTTCGATTTTGTGAAGCCACGGCATCGAGACCGATTCCAATTGAACGTGAGTTTTAACTCTTTGGCAACCAAACCTACCCGGAAACCGCTGGCCCTCTTCAGAAGTTGGTAGCAGAATCACCGCAGGGATAACTACTGGTAAGTACCGAGTTTTCCTATTGCATTATCCTTAGTTTAGTTAAAATAGGTAAATTTTCCTGGTTAGAAGATTTATTCTACTATAGGTTAAGTGAATGAATTTTGAAATAGAAGAATTGATTGCTAATTTTAATAATCTAGTACGAATTAACGAAACTTGCGAAGAAAACAATTTAATAAATAACGAAATGGCTCAAAATCAAAATAATGAAATTAATATGCAAATGCTTAAGTTAACCGTAGATCTAATTCAGACTTACGATGGTAATCCATCTGAACTAATGCAGTTTATTGGAGATTGTTAATTTTTAGTAGATTCATATGATAATATTCGCGATGTAGTTTTACATAATTATATTTTTAGAGTGATTCGTTCAAAGTTAGTAGGTAGTGCACGTCAATTAGTTAGTAGGAGAACAGAATTAAATAATTGGAATTTATTAAAGAACGCTCTAGAACAAAGTTTTGGAGACAAGAGATCTTTAGAATGCCTAGAGCAGGATCTGTTAATGGCTAAACCATTAAAACATGAACCTATTCTAGAATTCGCAAAAAGACTACAGGTTTTAAGAAGCCAATTGATCGAAAGAGTAAATAGTTTTTCGGAACAAGAAATGAATGCTAATACTAAAGAAATTTATCGTAGACAATATGACCAAATGTCACTTAGAACTTTAATTAGAAATTTGACAGGACTTTTACAACATACTATTAGAATTAAAAACCCCGATACTATAGAAACCGCTATTGCTCATATTGTTGAGGAAGAAAATTTTTATTATGCTCAAAATAATATTAAAACTCAAAACAATTCTACACAAAACCTAACATACCAAAAACAATTTAATAATCATAATGCAAAAAATCAACATAACGTCAAAACTTATGCAACGCCTAATAATAATTATCAAAACATAAATTATGCCTAGACTTTGAAAATAATATCTTTAAAAATAAAAATACGCAAATTCCCATATTTCATAATTTAAATAGAAAACGTTTTAATATATCAGTTGATTCCCACGAAATTGCCGCAATCAAAGTTCCTGTAAATTATTATTCCGGAGAAGTTATCGTGCCGGCAATGCAACTTGATACTCTTTATCTTCCAGAAACATTAACAGTTGTAGAACACGGTTTTGCAAAAACCGAGATTATTAATAACACTGATAAACGCGTAGAAGTAGAGTTGAAAGAACCTTTGCAAGTGATACCTTTAAACAGCTTTCATAAACAAAATTTTGAATTTTATCATGTAGAAGATTTTATAAATAGTACGGAAGCAAAATGCTTAAACGAGAAAATAGAAATAAATATGCTAGAAAACGACTCAATTTTAGGTAACCCCGGAGACATTAACGAAGACATACAAACGTTTGAAAATAAAAATAACGACGGACAAAACTCAGACTTAGCATTTAACGAAATCTATGACGAATTAGATAATATGTGAAAGACTCTTAATAACCCTATAGAAAAGAATAATCAAGAAACAGATAATAATCAATCACACTTAGAAATACATGA